ACTAAGCTCGAGGAGATTGCTTTAGACCATAGAGGGACCGACACAACTGACATACAACACCACTAGACTCCCTCTGAGCAACAAAACCAAGTGGTTGCTCCATATAAACCTCATCCTTAGGATCACCGTCAAGGAAAACATTCTTAATGTCCAACTGACAGAGAGGCCAATGGCAAACAACAACCATTGATAGAAAAAAGGCGGACTGATGCTATTTTAGCCACGCGAGAAAAAGTATCACTGTGATTGAGCCCAAATATCTGAGTATATCCTTTGGCAACAAGACGAGCCTTAAGTCGATCAACTTGACCATGTGGACCAACTTTGACTGCACACATCTAGCGACAACCAATAGTAGATTTACCCGGATGAAGAGGAACAAGCTCCTAAATACCATTAAAGTAGACATCTCGTCAATCATAGCCTGTCGCTATATTGGATGAGACAGTGCTTCACCTGTAGATTTAGGGATGGAGACAGAGGACAAAGTTAATACAAACGCATAATGGGGTGATGATAGACGATGGTAACGTAAACCGACATAATGGGGATTAAGATTAAATATGGACCGTATACCTTTCCGAAGTGTAATCATTTGACTAGAAGGGAACACGTCCGTAGTAGGAGTCGAGTTAGGTGCAGGACATGAATCAGCCGGGTCTGATGCTGGGCGCGGACGATGATGACAAGTCAGGAGTGGTGGAGCTGTAGAAGGTTGAATTAGATTAGGTGAAGGAACTAGAGCTATAGGTGGTGGGGCTAGAACTGAAGTTGTAGGCGGTGGAGCTGGAGCTGTAGAGGAAGATGAATGGGAGATAGTGACTGAATCTCCAAAAGATGAAATTGGTAGCACCTCAGAAATATCTAAGTAATTACCTCGACTTGTGAAGTATGATTGGCTTTCAAAGAAGGTAACATCAGCAAACATAAAGTATCACTGGAGGTTAGGTGCATAGCATCGATATTCCTTTTACGTTCTCGAATAAGCCAGATATACGCACTTAAGAGCACGTGGAGCTAACTTATCTTTTCCTGGAGTAAGCTTATGAACAAAACACGTGCTCCCAAAGACACGGGTGGAAGAGAGAACAAAAGTGAATGGGAAAACAAGACAAAGAATGGAACTTGATTCTGGATAGCTGAGGATGGCATACGATTAATAAGAAAACAAAACGTAAGAACTGCATCCCCCAAAAGCGCAATGGAACATGAGATTGTATGAGCAAGGTACGAGCAGTTTCAATAAGATGTCTATTCTTTCTTTCAGCTATCCCATTTTGTTGAGATGTGTATGACAAGACGTTTGATGAATAATCCTATGAGAGTTCATAAAATGCTGAAATAGGGAAGACAAATACTCTAGGGCTTTATCACTACGAAATATGCTAATTGAAACCCCAAATTGATTTTGAATTTCAGTGTGGAAGGACTGAAAATAGAAAATAACCCAGATCGATTTTTCATAAAAAATATCCAAGTGCACCTGGAATAATCATCAATGAAACTAACAAAGTAGCGGAATCCCAAGGTAGAACTGACCCGACTAAGACCCCAAACATCTGAATGGATTAAAGCGAAAGGTGATTGCTCGATTTTCAAGACGCGGAGGGAAATGGGAGCGAGTATGCTTACCGAGCTGACATGGCTCATACTCTAGTGGACAAGTGAGATAAACCATGTACCATTTTCTGAAGTTTTGACAAACTGGGATGTCCCAACCGTTTATATAATAAATCTGGTGAATCAGTAATAGGACGAGTTGTTGAAGGAAGATAAGATATGAGTCCATGTGATTTTTCAAGGATAAGGTAATAACGTCCATTTGATTCACGCTTGGTACCAATGATCCGCCCCACACTGCGTTCCTGTATAAAAATAAAGTCATCAAAAATAAAATCGAGCATTTAAGTGATTTGGCCAAGCGACTAACGGCTATGAGATTAAAAGGGTTGCCGGTAACATAAAGAATCGAATCTAAAGGTAAGGAAAGAAGTAGACTTGCTTGACCTATTCCAGTTGCCATGGTTTGAGACCCGTTGGCCATTGTGACTGTTGGAAAAAATTGAGAACATAAAATAGTAGTGAAAAGAGATTTATTACCAGAGATATCATCAGATGCACTTGAATCAATGACCCAAGACTTGGAGGATGAAGATTGGGAGACACAAGTCACGCTATTACTTGTTTGAACAACAAAAGCTATCTCAGAATATGTGTGCTACATGCTTTGTAGCGAAGGAACTCAATATTATCCGGTAAAGAAACCATCCAACCATTCAAAGTATCGGTTCCCATTTTGTTACGACCAAAATTCTAACAACTTCCGTGAGCCCTAGCCGACTCCCAAAGTATAAGAGAAACTACTGTTCACTTTTCATTGTTCATTGTTACTGTTCACTGAAAAACACTGAGAAAATAGAAAAGTCGTCGGAATCTAGTGTAACCTTGATGGGTAGGCTCGGAAAAGCCTCGTGATCCAGCTGTCCTGAAGAAGCTCGGCCCAAAAATGGCCGAAAATAAGCTTACGCGCCGGCGCGTGTGACAGACGCGTTGCTGGAAAATTTTCTCTGGCCGGCGCATGAGAGCGCATAGTGGGGCCTTCGCCGGAGATTTTTTCTAGGGTTTGGTCATCTGTCTTAGGGACCTTGTGGTGGTGTTGGATTTTGCACAAGACCAAGGAAAAAGGATTTTGTAGCGGACAACCTCTTAAGTCGCCGGAAAATTGCACGGCGATGAGGTCTTTCTTCCCAGAAGTCGCTTGAGCGATGCACATCGATAAATTTCTCATTAATGCTCTGATACCATGTGAGAATGCACGGAGAAAAATCTTTTATTGATATTCTGTTAATTGTTATACAATAGCCCTATTTATAACTATACACAATACATATTCTACTCCTATTTCATGTGAGACTAGGGTTATTTATATAATTACCGTGAATAAACAATATTTGACAAAAGTTACCTATTACCAAAAATATATTCAGAGGCGCCTGAGTCCATGACCTACGGTCCAAGAGTAGTAGACTGGGAAACACAAGCAAATGAATTACCTGCAATAGAAGTATCAGTCTGATCAACAAAGGCTAGTCTTGGAGGTGTCTGCTTACTTGCACGATACTGAAAGAACTCATTATATTCCCCTTCAGACGGTGTTTGGAAAAGCGATCGCTTCGTCGCTTTAAGCGCGAAGCGACAAGGCATCGCTTTTCCCATAGAGAGGCGACTCGACCGTGTGAAGCGCACGCTTCAGTGGACAGATCGACAAAGCGACAAAAGCGATAAAGCGATCGCTTCTGTTAAAAAATCGCAGTTGGACCCTTTTTTTTTTTTTAAAAAAAGGTTGGGTCTGTTTGTAAATTATACAAAACAGACCCCTAAGCTCGCTTCTATAATTGCTCGACAAAACAGAGATCCTTTCTCTCTTCTTCATCGACAAAACTAGGGTTTCCAGGTAATTTTTCTTCTTCTCATTTTTTTCTTTCTTCTTCTTGTTCCCGTCCAGCGTCTGCTCTTTTTTTCTTTCTTTTTCATTCTTCCTTCCTTCTTCTTCTTCGCTTCTCTTTTTCACTTTTTCTCGTCCAGCATCTGCACAACTAAGGTAGGCGCTTTTTTCTTCCCCCCCCCTTTATTCTTCTTAATTTTAATATGTATTTTAGTTTATAAAATTACTTATTATATATATGTGTTATATTGTTCAGTTTATTTGATTTTTCAATGTGTATTTCAGTTTATAAAATTAGTTATTTTATATATGTTATATTTTAGTTTATTTGATTTTTTTAATGTGTATTTAAGTTTATAAATTAATCATATATATATATATATATATGTATGTATGTATGTATTTTAAGAATTGCGCTTCACTTCAATGAAGCGTGCGCTTCGCTTTTGAAGCGTGGCGAGCCCCTTTCGCTTTTTGCGCTTCGCGCTCTCAGAAAACTGCCTTCAGATAATGAAAACCCCTGGTTACCTGCAGTCTCGGTTTGAGAAATATGAACATTTTTAGGTGGTCGACCATGCAAAGAGTAACATACCTCACGAGTGTATACAAGCTTATTAAAATAAGAACACTTGGGTCGAGATTTTCCAAAACAACCTCCTCGTCTATTCTCCATAGTTCGAAATGTCCGATTTTACACCATCTGAGTACGAGAATAAATGAGTCAACAGTTTGTGGTGAGACCGCTGTGTGAATGGGTGGCATAGCAAGACGAAGCAATCGAGAGAATAGTTCATCAACTGTAGGTATATAGGAACAGAAGGACTAGCCAAAATTTGGTCACGCACAGAGTCTAGGTCATTAGGAAGTCTAGAAAGTGTAAGAGCTAGAAACATCTTTTTTGCTCCAGTTATTTTTCAACACTAGCAGTGACTGGCATCAACTTCTCAAATTCCTCTGTAACTGCCTGTACCTATCCCAAGTAGGTCGATGTGTCCAATTCCCGTTTCTTTAAGTTTTTCATCCGAGATGTTATATCATAAAAACGAGATATGTCATTAGTGTATAAAGTACGAGCCTTCTATCAAACTGAATAACATGTCTGGAATGGACGAAACAAAGGACATAATCCAGCATCAATTTTCTCCCAGAGTGCTTTGGCCTTTCCATCTCTATCACTAGCCTTCTTGGTTAGGTGATCTTGAGCATCTTGACCCTTGCACCACAGCTCAACAGAAGAAGCCCAGGCTAAGTAGTTTGAACTTGGTTCCGAAGTAACCATCAAACTTGAATTTCCAGAACCGGTGCTTTTAGAACCTAAAACATCAAATCCGAAAGACATTGTTGGATCAGGATTGCTAATTCAAGTATGATAGTGTCCTTGATATGCAACTGTGTGATATGCAGTTATTCTGTCTGTCCTTGTAGCTTCACCTTTCAATTTACATGGGAGGCATCTTTCTATTTAAATTTACATCATCTTCTTTTTCATAAAGTAAGATTAAAAGCTTACAGCATCTTTGTACTTAAGGTAAGATTTACTGTTAATCTTTGATAGGAACTTGCAGCTAAGCTGCGGTCAACTCTGTCACTGAAACGGCTGCTCGAGTATGTGCCATCACAAGCTGAACTCATTCAGTACGTTCCTCTATTACTGCTTTTCCCTTTTGTGCAAAAAACTTTTCCTCCCTGTTGAAATTAGAAATTCCTTTTTAGTGTGCTCAGAAATATAAGGAGTCAGGCTTTCTAAAAAATGTTTATTTTTTCCTTAACAAGAAAAAGAAATATAAGGAGCCGTGCATGTTGCGTTGGTGTAGAACTGTTTTATTGACTTACAAACCAAGTAAACTCTAGCTCTTTGAAAACTTTTATCCGGAGCAAATTCAAGCTAAAGATTATGTGGGAGTCTAACCTTATCTAAAGGTACTTGAACTCTTTAAAGAGTTTCATCATTTATCAATGAAACCTCGTTTCATCATAGCCCAAATCTGGTAAGCTCTTAAATCTGTGAAGAGGTTTTTGCTTTCAAGAATTAATGGAATAGCTTTTAGCTGCGATATTGATAGAGTAGCATTTAGCTGCGATATGGATAGAAGCAATCGATTATGGTATTGATTTAGAAAACCCTGGATTGGCTTTTCACCTGCTGTTTATCTTGGTTTTAGTTTGTTAATGTAAATTTCTGTGATAGCTGCCTTACTATTTTATAAATGGTTCAACTTTCTTAAGTGAAAGTGGACCTATGTACAAAATTTAATAGAGGATTTTCTGTTTGAGATTTATAAACGTCTCAGAGTTTTACTTTTGTGAAGTAGCTGAGCAGGAGGTGGGATCTGATTCTCCAGCATCCCTCCTGATGATTTTGGAGATGAAAACTGCATAAGAGCAAATTAGCTTGTAGGGTGTAGATGTATTCTGATGGATTATGTTCAATGGTCTTTTTAGCTTCTTGATTATTTAGGTAATGTTCAACTTCAGTTGTCTTCTGATATATTGTATAAGCAAGAGCAATGCACTATTGTCAAAGGCGCACTTTGAAGCGAGGCACAAAACATGTTGAGCGCTTCGCCTCCCTTAGCGGGCGCTTCAGTGTCGTCATCAATGCTCTAATGCATACTTCGCCATGCAAATGAGCATAATCTTGAAGAGGTGACACTAAACAATTGATAACTTTATCGTTATCTATTTCATTTTCTTTGTCCATACATATGTTATTTATGCTTATACTTATTAGTCTAGGACTACACATGCATCTTTTTATTTTTCCTCCATTGCGCCTTTCTTCATTAAAACCTACACTTTATTAGTGCTTTGCGCTTAAAGCCCAGAGAACCTTAGAGTTTTTTTGCGCTTTTCGCCCTTGATAACTGCAATGGACACCCTTGAATATGGTTGATTTCAAATTTAGTGCATTCATTGCTTACTACTGGAAGTATCAAGAATTCTTTCCTCATCTTTTTTTTCATTGCTCATGTCAATTCCTTTTCTTAATGTATTAATGTTCCTTCTAGTACCTTATTTCCTAAAAACATTAATAGGAAAAGAGATGAGGAAAACTTGCATATACTTTGGGAGCATAGAGTCAAATGTTATGTTGTCTGGAATCATTCGTTCCCTATATAAATGTGTCTTAAAACTCAAATTTTGACTCTGCTGCTCCAATAAAACTACTGAAGTTTCTCACTATTCTTAAAAACCAATAGGAGGCAAGTACATTGTTGTAAACGCCTGCAGTTTTGCTTTAAAAAGGGGCAGGGTGGCCGGAGGGGAGTTGAACACTCTAAATCTTACTTAGTCAATAAGGCATTCCCTATTTGATTCTAGAAAAACAAAATAAGGCATTTCCTTACGATAGGAAAGTTTCTAGAACTAATCATTGAAGATGGTTAACTGGTTAATAATCACTTAAAGTTTTGTAAAGATGATACTTGTACCAGCCACCACGACTTTCTTATACAATTGGATTCTTTGCTTTCGCTGCTTGTTTCTGTTTTCAGTTAAAGAGCACTTTAGATATGTGAAAAAGTTTAAGTGCGGCATGAGTCAAATAAACCAACAGTTCCAAGTTCCGTCCTTCTCCTGCATTTTCTCACTTCATGTATTTATTATTGTCCTTAGGTATGAGAAATTTTGACACTGTGATTTCAAGATCATTTATCATCTCCTCTATCATCTGGTCCAACTTTTGATGTTTGAACATATTATCCTGTAGTTGAACAAAAAAAGCTGCACTCTAGCCATCAGAGACCTGTATAATTGTTCCAAATGCATTATACTAACTAGCTGGAGCACTAGTTTTGGAGATCCGGAACTGTTCATCATATTTATAGTTAAAGAAAGATACCAGGGCAAAGAGTAGAAAATTAGATGGTTTCACATATCAATTACCACAACTCTTGTTATAAAGCCCATCAAATTGTTTTTTGTTTATTTATTTGAGTTGATCCAGGTATGAGAAGTTTAGTTCCTAGTTTTTGATATTGGATCTATGTCAAACATTTTGAATCACTATTAAGGTAGTCTGGCATAGTTGTTTAAGGGAAAGTAATCTAATTCAGAGGTCGTTATGTCATGATATCATATTTCCGGTAGGAGTTTATCCATAAGCACACTGATTACTGCAGATAGCGAATTGTGCTCATGTTTTCATTCACTGCAGATAGGAATGCTCGTTGGCACTCTCTCTCTCTCTCCAAGAAATGTGAAAGCTCTTGAACTTAGTTTGATGCTCTTAGAGTCCCACATTGGTTAAGTATATTAGTTATAGTTTGCTTATACGGTCGGGCAATCCTCATCAATCTTGAGCTAGCTTTTGGGGTCGTATTATGCCCAATGTCTATTTTTCAACATGGTGTTAGAGTAAGACCCCTCTCTGATGTTGGGTTACCACATTGGGCTACCTAGTGAGGTTACTACATGGTCCAGATGTTTAGTCGTAGGCATGCGAGAATCCACAATCAGTAAGAGTGTCTATTGCAGTCTCCTCATAAGATGTGCAATTCTCACCGCTTGAGTTAGCTTTTGAGGTTTAAGTTATGCTCAAGGTCCATTTTATCAATGGGTACCTACCTTAAATGAAATTCATAAATCATATGACATATTTTAATTGTCTCCTCATCACCTCTCTTGAAAATTGAGCATCAAATATATTCACTCCCATATAATTTTCTTTATCTCGGGAATCAAGCTTTTTTATTACTGGTTAGTTATGCTTTCTAGAATGTAGCATAATGTTTCTTTCGGAAGAAAAAAAGATGCTATTTTGTAGTCTACATGGTGTCTTCACTACATTGATCCTATTCAACGTCCCATGGTCTGTCTCTTTTACTAAATATTGATAAACTTCAAAAAGATTTGTTTGTTCGTGTGTCTGTTATTAGCCATGAGTATTGTTGGATTTATCTTAATATGCCTGGTACATCATACTTCTGACAGAGCTTTTTTGACGCAGGTATGAATTCCGTTTTTCAGAACTTTATACTGATATCCAGGTACCAGCATAGTTAGTGACTTAAACCATCGTTTGACCATGACTAACATTTCAGCTCCTTGTCAATCACTTTGTTAACACTGAATATGCAGGCCAAGCATTGTCAAACCCATAAATACTATGCTACTTACAACATATTGTTGGAGATAAAAGAATTGATGCTAAAGGAAACATCTTTACTGAATTCCATAAGCTCACAGGTATAGTATGGTTTAAATAGAAATAGGTTGATTTTGTTGGAAAGAACATCGTTACTGAATTCCATAAGCTCACAGGTATAGTACAAAGCAAAATAGAACCTTTATCCCTTTTGTGAAATTAATTTTATGGGAAACCCTGCATACATGATGTATACATATAAAACTATATTTCTACACTGATCCCTATATATATATATACACACACACTATCTATTTTCCAATGTAGGACACTTAACATACTACACAAGCTATCTAGCAGAGATGATATTTCATTTCCTTTTTTGTGAGTATTGTAAGTCAGTTTATGAACTCTCCTTGCGACTGTCATTGGGATGCAGTTATCCGCATTATTCGAATATATAAAATCATCACCACGTAAAGGATTGCTCTTCGAGGATTGAGGCTATGAGGAAATCGTTCGATACAGAGACACTGATTGAGTATGGTTACCTTATGATAGATGTTCTACATTTGGATATTGTATAGTAAAGGTAATTTGGTGTTTTGGAAGAGCAAGAAACTTAATGTGGTTGTTCAATCTAGTGTAGACACGGAATATTAAGCAATTGCGATAGCAACTTGTGAGCTAGTTTGGAGAGAATTGAAACTTGGCGAAATTTGTTGGATGGAATTTGTGTGATAATCAAGCGGCCCTCCATAACACATCAAATACGTTATTCCATGAGAAGATTAAACACATTGAGACTGACTGTCGCGTTGTTAGGGGAAAGATGCTCTTAGGAGATACTGTTACAAAATCAGTGAAGGTAAATGATCAATTTGTAGATATTTTCACCAAATCCCTCATCGGTCCTCGTATTAGTGTAAGTTGTGCGGACACTTCGTTTTTGGTGCGCACCCGTCTCGACATGGGACGAGAGCGGGATACGTCCCGGATACGGACAACTAACTTCAGATACTTTGACCCGAGTCCATTGACAAATATTTTGGGGGGGGGGGGGGAATTGAGATTTTGAATTCTCTAAATTAAAAATAAAAAATATTTAAGACATGGGAAATGGCATACCTTCAATATTGTAGTACTTTTGTCTCATATTTGCTGCTTTGTGTTTCAGAAAAACCAAGAATTCAAGGGGTTGTGTCTGAGTTCGGACTTTTGGTAGACAATAACAGCTATATAGATGGAGAGTTGGTGTTAGACCTTGAATGGCTTTCTTTTTCTCTTTATGGCTCTAATTTTTTATAATTTTGATTTTTTTAGCCGAATCTCTACACCCGTATTCATACCTGGATCCGCACCCCGAATCTTAAAATTTCTATTTTGTCGAATCCGACACTCAGATCCGTGCTCGTATAGGATGCCCACACCCGGATCCAAGCAACTTAGGTATTAGTTACATTTGTAACATGCTTGGTACATATAACTTATATGCACCGGCTTGAAGAGTAGTATTAGATAGTTAGTATAATAATATACTTAGTGTCCCACATTAGGAAATAGATATTATATTTTGTGTGAAGTATGCATATAAATAGGGCTCAATGTAAGGCAATTATGTTACGCATGTTAATAATATTTTCTCGTGTCCTTATTTCTCACATTAGGTATGCAGAAACTCTCGCTTCTTGATGTACTTTCAAGGTTTTGGACCTCTCAACACAAGAAGAGAGAAAAACAAAAGCACCCTGCTAAAGTTTTTCAAAATACTAGCAAAAGCGTTCTTCAAACTCACGTGAGAAGAATGTTAGATGAAAAGAGCTTTACTACTCGTTCCCACTCGTTCTTCAATCCCGCAAGATTGCAAGGAGCGTTGAATAACGGAAGAAGAAACAAACAAAATATAAATCACGTTTTGAAGCATGAGCTTAGGAGAACCAATCACCAATGTTTTCAGCTTATTGAGCCCTTTAAATCGGCCATAAAATAAGGAAAATTGATGAGATTAAGGAAAACTAATCTTAATTAAACTAGAATAAGATTTAAGTTAAGAAAAAACTATCCTAACTAAAATCGAAAAAAGAATTCTAGTAGGTATAGAATACCAACTAACAATCTTAGTTTGACTAGAACTACAAGTATAATCATACTAAAACAAAGAATCAAATTACTAGGAAACAAGAACTAAGAAATCCTAATCTTTAAGGAAAAGAAATCCTAAAATCTTGAATGGATTGTTGGACTTCTTAAATTTTTTGAGATTCTTGGGTCTTAATCGGACTAAAGCTAATCAGTGTAAGCATTTCAAATTTGTGGCCCTTCTCCAAATTCATTGGCACCTTCGTGAGCGCAGTTAGCCTTCATTGCGGTAGAAAGCATGGTTTCCACTTGTGCTTCTCTAACATCGCGATTTGAGCTTGTATGTTTATCACTTCTCCTTTTTCAATAGTCATTGTAGAAAAAGTTAACACCGAGCACACAATTATTTTTCTCTTACCATAAACCTTTCACTTTGCATGACTGCCATTCTTTGTTTTATATGATATTTCCCTAAATATTCAGCTCTTTCATATCTCAGTCTTGCATGTTTGTTTATTCAGAAGTTCAAATCCCATACTATTGTTTCTCCTTATTCCTTTAAATCTAGTTAACTTTTGTTGTCTTCTTGCTCGATGTAGAGTATATTGGTTGCCAGGAAGGCATCACTTTTGACCATATCCCACATTCCAGCTTTCTTACCAAAGCTAATTGTGGTGCCCCTTCTTCGCTCTTTCACAATGCCTTCCATAAAGATACTCCATAGGCATCATATTGTGGTTGTTCTCCATCATCCCATTTGTTCTCATAATTGTTAGCAGTGATATTTTTCCACAATGCTTTCTTTCATTCTCTACCTCTACATCCATTTACCTAGTTGAGTGCTCTTGAACATCCTCAGATTTCCAACTCCGAGATCCCCACTTCATAGGAGCCGTAACTGTTGTTCAATTGACCAAGTGAAACTCTTTTTAACTCCCGACACGAGTCTCTCTCACAGAAAGTTTCTTTGCAACTGTTCTAGCCTATCTGGATGTTTCTCGGTATAGTCAATAAGAAGATGTAGTAGGTTTGTGTGCTGGATAATCTCTAACAGTACTGTTTATCATTAAAGTCTTACCTTTAGTTCAAATGCTGAATAAAGTGCTCTTGGTCAATGTCTCCTTTCCCCCTTTCGGTAGGTTTCTTTCATGCCATCCAGTAACCTATTTTTCACTTTCTCAACCATTCTCCACTCTCCTCTGTCCTTACCTTTTGCACCCAAGGATAACCCACTTGGCAATTAGAGCATCCAACCGGCATGTTTTTGGAAAGCTCAATCTGTTTCCATTCCCTTATTTTATCACCCCAAAATAGAAAAGGAAAAGTTCCTTCTCCTTCTAATCTCCAACAATTCTGCAAAATCTTTTTAACCTTGTCTTTGGCTTAAACCATTGGTTTCTTTCTTTTTGCTTCGACCTTCAGTAAACTTTCTAATCTCCTTTACAAAATGCTTATGGAATTAAAATGGGAACTTATCTTCCTGCACTTAATAAGTCGATATTACTCCTTAGTTACATAATACACTTACACTTTAAAAATCTGTAAATTGTTGGACCATGGCTTAGTTTAATGAGTACTGATTGGCTTAGTTCTTTCTCTGTCTTTCTTAGTGGCTCTCTTCTTATTTTCTGAAAAGTTGTCTTTAGCTGGTAGTGACGTAGTTGACGAGTGAGTGAGTGAGTTATGTTGATTGTTTGTTCTCTTGATGAGTGGAAAGACTTATGGTGCTTTTCTGACTTCTGAGTATACATTCCTCTTTTTATGCATCACTACTGACTTAACACAAATTAAATTGCAAAGAATACTTTGTAATCCATCTTACACACTTTGTGCTTCTCTGATAGTTTTCTTAGGTTTCTATACAATGTATATTGATCATTGTTGATATCCAAACTTTGTTTGCATCTTCTCCCTTCATGTGCTGATCTATCCTATTTGTTACGTACACAGTGTTTCTTTCTTTTATCTTGTCACCTTTTGTGTCTCTTTGTATAGTTTAAAGGTGCTCTTACTAGCCCTGCTGGTCGAAGGAAATTGATTGATTCCATGGAAGGAATTCTGCACGGGACTCAACAGGTATCTATGCTCCTCCTCATTCAAATGCATATTTTATAGAGTGATGGTGGATAGAAAATCAAGAACTAGAATAGGCTCTGCGTGTGGGGGTTTTCACAAAGTATAGCCAGTTCTTAACGTGGAAAAGTTGGAGAGTTGTATATTGACAACTAATGTAATATAGCGTAATTATGATGAATTGAGTGAACACACAGAGACAGAGAATTCATAAATTAGTTGGAATTGATATTGATTACTAAATCCAGTTTGAAAGAAGAAAAAAGGAGAATCAAGACTCTCCTGGGAGGGAATACTAGAGCCAGGGCAATAAGCAACAAATAAATTGAGCCAGCAGTAAGAAAGTTTCTCTTGACAGCATAACCATTGTTGAACAATTGGCAGTGCATCTGCCAAGGTTGAAACCTCTGCTGATGCAGTGCTGCTTGTTCAACAATGGTTGTACCGTAAAATGAATTCTAATATAGCTTTCGCATCTCCAGTTCCACATCCAATCCCCCTCTTTCGGCGATCATGTCTTAAAGGGCCACAATATCAACAAGATTTTGCAAAAAACATGATTAGTCACCAAATGTAGTTTACAAAATCAACATTTAGAGACTCCATACTTCTTCAATAAGTTGGCCCAGTGCACATGAAAACACAGTAAATCTAAATATTATTAAAAGGATAAATATACTATTAGAATAGAACCTTCCTACTTCTAGGAGAGAAATTAAAGGATTTACAACAACATACCAAGTGGGGTATGAGAGGTAGCGTATACGCAGACTTTACCCTTACCTTGTGGAGATAAAGAGGTTGTTTCCAATGGACCCTCGGCTTAGGAAAGCATAAACACAACAGTAATGAAAAGAAAAACAACACAAAACAACAACTACAACAACAACAACGACCCAGTGAAATCCCACTAGTGGGATCTGGGGAAGGTAGTGTGTACGCAGATCTTACCCCTACCCTGAGGGGGTAGAGAGGTTGTTTCCGATAGACCCTCGGCTCAAGAAGACGAAAAGAGGCAATATATCAGTACCATCAATAAAAAACATTGAAAAAATAACAGCATCACACGAACCGGAAAATAGATAAAAAGCAAAATAATAACCGGTAGATAAAGTCCGGCACTAAGAGGAACAAAAGAGTAGTGTGAACTCAACACTAACCACTAGCAATCTAAGACTAAATCCTAACAGACTAACCTTACTCCGGTGTGTCGTAGAAATATGGAAAAGCAGCATAAATAAAAAGACAGTAAGATGACCGAAATGAAAAGAATAACATGTAATATTAAAAACCGAATACGAACAATATACGGGAGTACGTACTAATACTACCGGTATGAACAAGAAAAACACTAGGCTATCTAACCTACTACCCCAATCCTCGATCTCTATACCTTCCTATCAAGGGCCATGTCCTCGGTCACTGATGTTTCACCGTGTCTTGTCTAATCACTTTTCTAATACTTTTTCGGCCTACCTCTACCCAGGGGGTGTCAATGGTTTAGTTCGGCCGGTTATTTTATAAAATTTGCACCATATCATTTTTTCTGTTATTTTATTATGTATAACCAAAATTAGACTTTTTGAAATCGTCTCAATCATGTTAGTTTCTCTTCAGTATCGGTACGGTTCGGTTAATTTTCAATATTTTATAAATATCACTAGTATAATGCAATAACATGCGTACTTTTGTAGGACTTAACAAAACTCTCTAGACATTTTTTACTGTTTAAAGGGTGATGAATTAAGAAAACATGAAAGATGACCAGAGTATAGATCCATCAACTATTCTATAGTAGTGTGAAAGAAACTAAGCAAAGATAAAGAAAATATAAATCACATGAGTGGAAAGATATTAACCAAGTTGGAACTCAAGAATAAAGTTTGTAGAAGATAAAAGATTCAAAAAGATAAATCTAAGTCATACGATAAGGAAACATATTCAATACATTGTAGTTTACTACTCATAGTTGCTAGAATACTTTGTGTCTTGCTAGTGAATATACAACAAAAACATACCCAGTATAGTCCCACAAGTGGGGTCTGAGTAGGGTAGATTGTACGCAAACCTTACCCCCCCTGCCTTTAAAAGAAGTAGCTTAATAGGTTTGAGAATTATGATTTTGAGTTTAATTACTTGTTGGCTTGTAACCGTTCTCATAATTTCAAGGTCCAAGGAAAAATTTAATGCTTTATTATTTTTAAACTTAATATATAAATATATTTTCCACTATAAATTTATTGTTCGGTATTTTTTTCGGTTTATTTTCATAAAATAGAAACCTACCCTAACTTTTCTGGTTCTTATGATGCTGTTATTATTTCTATGGTTTCTGTTGATGGTATTGATATATTATCTCTTTTCTTCTTCCTGAGCGAGGGTCTATCGGAAACATCCTCTCTACTCCCTTGGGGTAGGGGTAAGGTCTGCACATACACCACCCTCCCCAGACCCCACTTGTGAGATTTTACTGGGTCGTTGTTGTTGTTGTTGTAAAAACCTACCCTAATTAACGGTACGATTATAGATTTATATAAAAATCGATTTTATTAAAAGAAACTTAAAAATCGGTTTGGTGCAGTACATTCCGGTCAATTTAGTCGGTGTTTAAATATCCATTGACACCCCTACCTCTACCTCTCCTTAGGCCCTCCAATGCCAACCTCTCACACTTCCTTACCGGAGCATCTGTGCTTCTCCTTCTCACATATCCAAACCATCTAAGTCTCTCTTGCCGGATCTTGTCCTCCGCAGGGGCAACACCCACCTTGTCCCAGAGACATCAAAGGATTTCTGAAATAGGAATTGACATCTAAAAAATAAATATTTTATTACAAAGGTAATCAGCACTCAAAACCAATTACAAAGCTTTTGAGAAATTTAAGGCGAAATCAATATTCAAAATGTGAGATATAAAATTTGTAACAACATTGATGCTGATAGATGGAATATTTCAGCTGAACGATTGCTGTTTGAATATAGAGTAATCAAAAACGAATATTCTATATTCATAAATTCCAAATTCAGGTTCATAGACTCAGTCAAAATAGTAGGACTTCTTAGTTTCACATTACTCTCTAGTACCAACATGTGGAACCATTTCCCTTTGGAGGATCTCTTTGGTGTACCTGCAATACAGAGCACAAGTACTACTAAGCAATCGAGGAACACAAAAGCATAAAAACAGAAGATCAAGAAGTTCCCAACATAAATCTCCTTTCTCTTGTGAAACCAACAGTAGGTCCTCTTTTACCAATGTAGTCAAGTGCGACCTACCAAAATTTATAAGAGGAAATAGTTAAATAATTATGTTAGATTAGCTTATATATTTTTGACAACAAATGACTAAATTTAAATAGATATTACCATCAGAAGTCCATATAAATTGAACTATACCTACTGATTTTTTGAATCACGAATGCCAAAATTCAACCTCTTGTAGCTTGTAAGAGAATTGCACTTTGGTGTGCCACACTGCTCCGTAGTTAGTAAATACACGTCCTTAACTCCAGAAATAGTTCAATGCATTTAAGAAGGCATCTAAAGAAAAATTAATAATAAAAAAAGAAAAAGGCATCTAAAGAAAAATTCTTTTCCGTTCCCGATAAAAAAAACCCCAAAAAAAAAGAAAAGAAAATCTCTTTTTGTATTTCTTTTATTGTGTTTGTACTTTGTACATTGACTAATTGGTGCATCTCTAACTAAGGTAAAACGACAAAAGAGACTTAATTTACAAATTATGAAAGTTAACTGGGTGAGCATGTTAGAGTAAAGTGTTCAAAAAGTCAATACTATGTCTGAACTTATATATTTCTCCTCTGGTGACCTCTGAGAATGAAAACCTCTAGGTAGGTTGCAACAAGAAAAGCTTTAGAGATTGAAGAAGGAGCCAGCAACAACGTTGGCATAGTGATTCAATTAGCATACTAAAGTAAAGAAAGTTTGACTGGCTTGCTAGCAAGTTATTCAACAATGTAGATGTTTTATCAGGCGGACCTATTATTGATTTATAAACCAACCAGATGAGTAAGCTCTTATTTTCTAGTATGTGTATTCTTTCTTTTTTGGGTGAATGGATACATATACTTTAAATGTACTGGTTAATGCAAACTTGGGAATCATTATGATTCCCACCCAAAACCAAATATTGTGCCAAAATACTAGAGCTATTACAAATTACTATTTCTCTTTCATACGAGTTCCTAGGATGCTGCCCAAAAAACTTCATTCACGAACATCGGATGAATTATCAACATAGTTTGATTTCCAAAAGTTACTTCTTGGCACCTTCTTTCACCATTAGATGTGCCACTTTGTTTTGCTCCCTATAGGTGTGCTTGATCATTGAGCTTCCCAGCTTTTGCATCAACTGCCTGCATTATTTAATATTAGGGTTATAATTATCACTCCACTGCTTAAGCATTCAGATTACCTCCACCGAGTCTGTGGCTATTTCCAGAGGTGTGAACTTCTATCAACTGCTAATTTTAGCCCCTGCATAAGAGCAGTTAGTTCAGTTAATGTATTGGTGGCATGAGGAAGGCCACCCCTAAAGCCAATGGCCCAGTCCCGCCTGCAGTTCCTAATAACTCCTATACCACCAGCTCCAGGATTGCCCAATCCTGAGCCATCAGTGTTTAGTTTGTAACAGCCTTTACCTGGTGGTTCCCATTTCACATTTATGGTGGTTGTTTGGTTAGTAAGCTGCTGTTTCCCAAATAACACATAAAGATTCTATTGTTTAATGTGTTATTGTGAAACAATATATTTATATGTACTCTCTTATTAGTTTAGGCTAACCCAAAGAGAAGTACATCCAGCAAAGGAAAATCATATCTATTAAAAGAATAATCTATCTTCCTGATGAGATATGAAAAGAACAAAGCTTCGATACCATGGATTTTGCTGATTTCATTTCCTACAACCCTGGTACTTCTGCCTCTGCTTGCAGAAACAACAACAACAAATCCAGTATATTCCCACAAGTGGGGTCTGGGGAGGGTAGTGTGTACGCAGACCTTACCCTTACCTAGTGAAGGTAGAGAGGTTATTTCCAATAGCTCTGCTTGCAGAAAAAGTATACAAAAATTTCACTTCTGCCTTAGATCTTCTATTAAGATATCATGCATTCAACCAGTTGTACTAACCAAATTTGGTGGTAGACCTAGTGAACTATTGTGGTAATACTAATTTCTTTAAGATGCTTCAGAGTGGCTATGGACATTTGACTCAAAATATCTTTACAACTGATTGGTAATAACTGCATGTATTAAGTGGGAGAGAAATATATAAGTGCTACACGGACACACAAAAATTGAAGTTACTATGTATAAATTAAATGATAAATGGACCAAGTTGTTCAATCTTACTGTATTAGGCCTTAGAATTAAGTAAATGATCATAACAATTTATTACTACCAAGAATGATAAACAAACATTATCGACTTTTTACAGTAGAACAACACCGTTTGAGGCTTACCTGCTGTAATGTTGATGCGGAATATGTTATGCAGCCTTCAATATACTGCAAAGTAATAAACTGAGATAACTTCATTAGGTGCTTCACTCAAATACAAAAGAAACAGGGAGATAAGCCACAAACAGGCACATGGTCACGAATGTAACAATTGAAACGGGAAGCCAGGAACAGAGAGGGAAAAAGGAAGTCGCGGCTAGCGCTCAGCAGCAGCAGCTGCAACCCGGTCAAATCTTAGCAAACCACCGAACAGAGCAAATTGACACCCAGTTTTCAGAAAGCTATTTTTCTTGAGAATGTCTTTATTTTAAAACTAAAGTAGATGGAGAAATTTTACATTCCCGATCTACTTCTTCAAATGTTTCACCACGAATTTGTACTCTGATCAAGATCTCTTCAGCATCAAGAGGCTACCATAAAAGGGTTTGTTTTGAAATTCAAAGGAAAAGCAAAGGGAAAAATCGAAGCCAGTTAAGGAAGCTCTCAGAAGCACAGAGAACTAAAATGATAGAAAATTACTGAAAAAAACACCAAACATGTTACCGGCAACAGTCACCTGCTATAAGAGGAACATGGGAAATGGAGTATGAAATACAGTTGGAAGAGAAAAGGAAGCAGGATGATTAGATACAAACCAAGCAACCACATTCCTGTTGTCATCTTAAGAACACAATAGGGCTTCTGATGTGCAACAACTATCATCCGGGCCCATCATGTGTTAATGTTGTGCAACACCTATACTTGAAATTAGATATGAAATGACTAAAATAGGCGATGGTCGGTCAGCAGGCAGGACAACACACACCAGCTACTTCCAAAGCTCTTCTATATGGTAGAAACTACTTTTTGTAGTAAAACATATAACATTTTGCGGTATGTTATATAATATTCTACAATTATTCTTCTAATTCAAATTCAATAAATCTTGACATATTGTGAAGTCGAGTATGCTGGATTGACTTTTATCTCTTTGTTGTCGCTGTGAGACAAAACTAGCTAGATGATGTCATGATGAGTGCATTTGGTATGAAGGAAATACACGGAAATTTAATTTCCTGGAAAATAAGTAATTTTCGGTGTTTTGTTAGTAAGCACAAAATATTATCCCAAGAGCATTTTCACATAATCTAACCAAACACTATAGGAAAAAAGGGAGGTGGGGGGAGGGAGCTTCGAGGGTCGGAGGTTGGGTTATGGATTGAGGGTTGGGGTCAAGGATCAGGGTCAAAAGTCGGGTTCAGGGTGTGGGGTGAGTTGTGGGGTGCAGGTTTAGGGGTCGGGGTTCAAGGTTTTGGATCGGGGTCTGGGGTCGAATGTCCAGGTTTCGGGGTGGGGGGTCGAGTGTCGATGGCTAAGGGTCAGGGTCTGGGTCTAGGGTCGACGTCAGAGTATCAGGGGTCAGGGTTCAGGAGAGAGCGTAAGAGTGGTGGAGGGAGTTAGTGGGCCGGGAGGGGTTGGCCGAAGGCGAGCGTCGAGGCTGGGAGGAGGGATGTGGGGAGGAGTGAGTGATGGTCCGGGGGTAGGGAAGAGCAGTGTAATCAAAAGCAAAAAGTTCAAAAAAGCTCTAAGGTCCATTGAGATTTTAAACGCAAAACGCAAATAAAGCATGAGCTTTAATGAAGAAAGGCACAAACAAAGAAAAAAAATACAAATATGTATGTGTAGTCCAAGATTAATACTTATAAGCATCAATAACAAATATCTGGATAAAGAAATTGAAAAAAAAAATGATAAAGTAAAATATTAGTTCTTTAGTGTCAACTCTTCAGGATTAAGCTCATTGACACGGAAAAGTATGCCTTAGAGCATTGATGACGACATTGAAGCGCCCGTTAAGTAAGACGGAGCGCTCAACATGTTGTGTGCCTCGCTTCGGGGCTTAAGTGCGCTTTAAGTGCGCCTTTTATGACACTGCGGAAGGGTGGGCGGGGGTGGGGGCAGGGGCGGAGCTAGCATAGCACTTGCGGGTTGGGCTGAACCCAGCAACTTTGGTCCAAAACATGTATTTGTCTTAAAAAATTTATTGAATATGTATAAATTGTTAATTTAAAACCCAGTAACGTAAACGATCTAGAATCCTGAACCCATAAGCTTTAAATTCTGGCTCCGCCTCTGTGTGAGGGTCAGTGTGGAGCAGAATTGGGGAACTGGAAAGCGAGCGCTTCGTCACTTAAAGCGAGAAGCAAAGCGATGTGATGGGTTGTCCGCTTCAGATCACCAACGCGAAACGGCTTTAATGAAGTGAGCGCTTTCTCCACTTAAGCGTGAAGCGTGTGCAACAACTGAAGCGAAGTAAGAGTGTGCTTTTTATTTTTTATTTAAAAAAGGTGGACTTTTTAGTGTTTCAAAAAGAAAACCATTGATTCGACTTTCTTCTGTGAGTTACAACTAAGGTTGGGACTTTTTGTTGCTCTTCTTCCTCCTCCTTCTCCTTCTTCTCCTCCTTCTCCTTCTCCTTATCCTTATCCTTCTCCTTCTCCTTCTCCTTCTCCTTTTTCTCTTGTTTCTCTGTTGTGATATCGTTATTGTTGTGATTTCTTTTTCTTTTCTTCTTGTATTCTTTCGCTTCTTCAGCTTTTATTTATTTATTTGTTTGTCTTTTTGTTTCATTTTTGTTAATTTAATTGAATTTTAAATTATGTTATTTGTTTTTTCAGTTTATTAATTTAGTTGAATTTATTTATTTGTTTATCTTCTTCTCCTTTTTTTTTCCTGTGCTACTGTTTTTTTTTACTTTGTTAATCTACTTGAATTTTTAAATTATTCTATTTTTTTCACTTTGTTAATTTAGTTGAATTTATTTATTTATTTTTCTTCTTCTCTTTGTTTTTTTAGTTTTTTTTTTTTTTTAAATTGCACGACAGAGTGGTAGGTGAGAGGTTGGGAACCAGGGCGGTGAGGGGTGTAGGTAGAGCTGAAAGAGAATATTGAAAAATGTTTTCCCTCCTATTGATAGGGAAGTCATTTCGTACAACCCAGTGATGGTACTGATTTATGTCTTTGTGCGCCTTCTTGAGCCGAGGGTCTTTCGGAAACAACCTCTCTACTCCTCGGGGTAGGGGTAAGATCTGCGTTAGCGGCGTACACTAGATTTTTCGTAAGCGATGTCACAATTTTAAATAGTGAGCAAATAATAATTCACTTGTAACAACACCATATAAAAAAATATTGTTCAAATCATACTAATAGAACACAACTCATGTATATTACTACAACTGTTATCGTTGAATTTTCATTTTTAATTTGAAATGTAATCAAAATAACCTCATTAAAAATAATATTAAATATTTTTTTTATAAAGAACCAAACAATCACACAAAAAATTCATCATTCATTTGATTTCACAAACCGTTCTTAATCAATTTCATGCCGAGAGAGAAAATGAAAGGAGTAAAAAGGAAGAAAAAATAGCCGAACAACTTGGAATATCAGCCAAATAATTTATTATCCTTAGATTAACATGTGACTCTTGACACGTTGGATTAATGCTCGTAACACCTAATAGGTCAGCCGTTCAAAGTCCACCAAACATTTTTTTCTATTTCGTAGATGATGCATTAAAAAATTTAAAACATGAAATGAAAGTTGCCTAGTTTCGAACCCGTGACATCCCCTAAAGAGTTGCAGCTCTTGACCAAATGTGCCACATAGCTATAAATGTCAAGTGGTGTCACTTTTACTATATTTAACCTGTTTCTGTTTCTGCATTTTAATTATATATACATGTTTAGTAAAATTTTCCGAGGAAGCGATGTCACGAGACACCGCTTCGCCTACGGTAGATCCGCGCCTAGTCTGCGTATTCACTATCCTCCCCAGACCCCACTTGTGGGGTTACACTGGTTTATTGTTGTTGTTATATATTTCTAAAACATTAAAGTCATTCAAACACAAGAAAATTGAAAAACTTCATACCAAACAACCTGATAGTTTTATTGTGAATCCATCAGGTGGAAGATAAGGAGGTTTTTTTAGAGTAGTGGCTAGAAATCCGATGTCTAAAGGAGGAATTTATTACTCAAACTAATACCCCAAAGAAAGAGGAGTGCAAGACTTTCCCTGAACAGTTAGAAATTCAATTTTTAGAGCACAAAATCTATTCTGTCCAGTGAGAAATAATGAGAGAAAAAAACTTTTTCAGAACAATAAAATTCAATATTCAAAGGAGGGATACCACAAAGAAAAATAAGAAAAAGTATACTTTTCTGAAATGATAAGCAGAAATTCAGTGTTTAGAGGAGGAACTCAAATCAATACCAATATTTTGATCCTTTAAAAAAAATATAAAGAAGAAGAAGTTTAGGAATATGCTTTACTAAAAAAAGTTCTGAAAAAATGATTAGTGATTCGGAGGAGGCACTGCCACATGAATAGGTAATTATTAATCGGCACGGTGTCAACATCACTAAAAATAAGAGTGCTTTCGTTAGGATGGTCATCAAAAAAAGAAGGAAAAAATTTGGCGGGATAGATCGTGTAATGCTGCTTTCTATCGGTAGAAGCTTCTTAGGTTTCGACCTAGGCTAACTGAAGCTTTGATACCATGTTAAATAAGGGAGAAGACTTCTTATTGAAATGATGATTAACAATGTGCAAGAGGGACTCGTTATATAAGAGTCACAGGCTATATTGCATATCATAGGTTATTATTCTGTATAGCTTATAAGGTAAGCATTTCCATAATTAAGTACAAAATGTTCTACAATTTTTAATATATATTCTATAATATTTTACTTACCTTTATTGCTTTTCTATACTTGTAGTACTAGTGCATTCTCATATTTCCTATTCTTAGATTTCTAATAACCTGCTGCTTTTTTGCATCGGTTATTTTTTTCTGACTGTGGTTACTACTTTTCTTTACCTGGATTCTCCTTTACTGTATTTCTTTATCTAAACTGCTGTGATATTCTTTTCTTGAGTTGAGGGTGTATGGGAAACAACTTCTTTATCTTTACAAGGTAGGGATAAAGTTTGCGCACACACTACCCTCCCCAGACCCCACTTGTGGGAATATACTGGGTATGTTATTAGAAATATTTAGAATCTAGGGACAGATAACTTTATCAGTTCTCTCTGCTTTCAACTTGTTTAATGACTTGATTTGAATGTTTATAGACCAAAGTCTGTATTCTAAATGTGTGGCAAGAGATGTGAAGGGGCAATCTAAACATTTCTAGAGACCTTGCCCTTATGCTGATAAGATACAAACATGTAAATGTTCTTTTGATTTATTAGCAACCACATTCTAGTATCTAGTTTTCCATTTTGTAAACATGACATGTTTCATGCAGTTCTTGAAAATTATATTGCTGATCTCACTCAGATGGTATTTTTCCGAAAAGTTGAGTAATGTTGTATTTACTGAACCGATTTTTTTTTGGGTGTCCCGGCCAACTTGTACCCACCTCGACTATTCGACCATCTACCTGCTACCTCCCACTAGGTACCGGGTAACTCAATAGGCAGATGGGTTTTGTGAAACTGATTTCTACGACTTCTCAATCTGAGAAAGAGACGACTTGGGATATTTATTTGAAAACTAACACCATACCCGTATATTTTGAGTGCAGTGTTCCCTTCTCATTTTTTTTGTTTGCGTTAATGCTGGTTATAAATTCTGACTATCTCTGTTAAAACTAAAGGACCTATTCATCTGCATTGGCCATTTACAGGAAAGCTTGAAGATCTCCTTGATTGCTTTCCTTTGATTACCTATTTCTCTTAAGTGGGCAAGTTGTGTGTAGAGGAGTACTGGATCTTCTCTGTTTCATATACCATTTTTTCTTTCAGTGGAAGCTATATTTCTGCCAGTCATTTTTGCTTGACTCATATTTGTGAGTTATTAGTAATCTGAAAGGTTGTCTTGTACATTTTAAAAATATTTTGGCATTTCTAGATATTCTCTACATAGTACATACAGTTAACAAACTTGATATTTATGTCTATCCAACTGAATTTATGTTCACTTTGAAGTTCTATGCTTTTCTCTTAACAGAAACAATATTCAGTGTTCTTAATGTGCCTCTTTGAACATCATTTATTGGTCAATAACATTAAAAGATCGAACTATGGGTTAGTGGCATTTATCTGGTCAGTAACATGAACACTTACTGGTGAGCTGCATGTTCCAGAAGCTGGAAAAGGTGCAAATTGCTCTACAGTCGGAGCAGAAAGCTCGTGAAGCTCTCAAGGGGAAACATGCAGCTGCTGTTTCAGAGCAAAGACATTACAATTCTATCTTAAAAGCTTTCCAGGTAAGGTCCCTACTAATATGATCTGAAGAGTATAAATCTAAAAGTTGTATTTGTAAATGAATCTTAAAACTTTGTTTGTTTCCTTTTTGCTTATAGTTTTCTTGAGATGTTGCACTTGGACAACGCATAACATCTAATTGACTTGTTGAGGGACACATTTATCTGCACTTCTAGAATACATCCAGCTAAAGTTTGACTCGTTGAGGGACACAATGTGTAAACAGAATAGCATATGGATGACTGCAGCTTTTTATCTCTGTAGCAATGGGCTGGCCTGCTGGGTTAGAAACGGGCAGGGTTCATGCGGGTTTTAAAGAAAAGCAGTCTATCTTCCCAGAAGGGGTGCCGTGGTGCAACGGTAAAGTTGTCTTCGTGTGACCTATCGGTCAAGAGTTCGAGCCGTGAAAGCAGCCACTAATGTTTGCATTAGGGTAGGCTGTCTACATCACACCCCTTGGGATGCGGCTCTTCCCTGGACCCTGCGTGTACACGGGATGTCTTGTTCACCGGGCTGCCCCTTTTTTTAAGTCTATCTTCCCCCTCATATTCTTGCACGCTAAGTATGTTATAATTGCTCCTCTAATTATAATAGCCTAAGAACACTTGTGCCGCAGCACACAGGTATTATACAAGAACTTAATTCATCAAGAACCTTGGGTTTCTTTTGGTGCTGGGGGTTGTTGGTACGGGTATAGATTCTTGCTACTGCTGCCTTCTGGAATATATTTGCCACCAGACACTTTTAGCAAATCATTCTGCTCATCATACTTCATAGTTCAGCTTCTCTAGACTATGAAGCACTGGCGAGTCTGTCATAATAGCTCCTTAAGACTTGAGAATGTTAGTGTCTGCGAATACCGTAAAACGCTCATTTCTAATCTTTAATGCATTCTCGTAACATTATGTTATGGCTCAAACAGTACTTAGTTTTACTCCAGTTGTTAGTGGCTCTTCAATGAGGAAATGTGTGCTTATGTTGATGTGATAACACCCATAAGTCATGTTTACTCCACTTGTTAATGGCTCTCAAAACGAGCAAAAGTGCACTGATGTTGACTTGATTACACCCTTACATCATCTCCTGTGCTTAGAAATTTGTTCTTTTAGATTTTTGAGGAAGAATATCTGATTTGGTGAGTCTGTTTTTTCAAATAGCAGGAGAGGCAATGTTGTGAAACGTGGAAATTGTTGAAAAGAACATCTCCCTCTCTTCTTTTCATTTTCTTTTGATTAGAGTTGTCCAGTTATAGAGCCCATTCTAGTTTAACAGTCGTATCAATGTGAATGTTCAGTTCAGATATACTACTTTTGTCAGCAGCAAATGAGTGGTTCCTAATGATATGCTTCTGTTATTTCCAGGTGGAATGTGCAAGGAATGAGAGACTTCGCTTGAAGAATTCACAAGAACATTTACCAAGTTGATATTTATGTCTGGTCGAAGAAGTGTTCCATTCTACAAGAAATCCAACGGATGGCTACTGGGTTTGAGTACCTTCAATTGTTTGTACTATTTATCTTGTTATACTATATTAGAAACTTATTTACTCATGCCAAAGAAGTTTCTTAATTACAATTTCATATATAAACTTACCAATTATATATAATTTAAGGATTGTAAAGTATCCCTTAATTATAGTGCATTGGTAACCGAATCCCACGCCTTCAACTAACATACCCACCCCTCACTCCAACATCTCTCAGCCTATCACTCCGGTAATCACGTCCAAAAAATTACCCATGTAATCAATTTCTTCCCCTTTTCAAAAGGCTAGTTTTGGACACGTGTATTCTTAGCATTCTTCATTTTTCGTGTAGCAAAAATAATATTTTATTACTTAAACTGTATACATATATTAAAGTATTCGAGTTTAACCCAAATTTATAGCGTACAAAAAAGATGCACCGTTTTTGGCTGTAGATAGTTATAGTATGTTAAATCATACATGTCTTTTTCAATTTAAAAAAAATTGTAATCATAATACACTATAAAGAATGAATTAATTACCGTCTTTTAGAGAAACCAACCCCTTCTCTTTATTCGTAGCTCACGAATCTTTGCTAACGCTACAAATGGAGATGGTGGTCTTCATCATCCGTGAACCTTCAAGTTGATAGGAGTTAAATCTAGTGATTATTCTAATTTCGACTGTCACGGCCCAAAATTTCACTGGGTCGTGATAGCACCTAACCTAACTCGCTAGGTAAGCCCAACAACATAAGTCATTATTATAATAAGAAACAAATCAAGATAATGAATAAAATAGCCAAAAGAGTTCAATACTATTATCTCAAGAACTGGTAATATAAGTCACGAGCTACTACGAATAAGAGTACAACTCCAGTTTGAGGAAAGATATATAATCTGTTTGAAATTTACATAGATAGAAATATAAATTCTAAACTAACTCGAACAAATGGTAGCTTGTATCTGGAGCGTGGTACGACTTCAATGCTAGGCTATCGAACATCGCAGTCGCTCATCTCCAAGTATCTGCACGCAAGGTGCAGAAATGTAGTATGAGTACAATCGACCCCATGTACTCAATAAGTATTTTGATTAATCTCGGTGAAGTGGTGACGATGTTTTTAATTCAAAAGATACTCACTAATATAAATAACCTGTGCAATTAAAATGCAATAGAGATAACAATTGAAAATGACAAGAACAAATACGAGAAATAATAAAATGATTAACTAAAAGGAACAACGATCAGGTTCCTCAATATCATAACCAACCCTTTTCTTAACAGTTCGAGTAGAGAGGTTAAGACAATAACCACTAAAACAACATAGTTAACTCATGAATATTCATAATAAGAGGAATGTGTTTAAGACAACAAACAAATGGCACGGCAATACCCTTCGTGCATTTACCTCATCCTCACCAAACATATGCATGTATATCAAATTAAATGGCACGACAACACCCTTCGTGCATTTATGTCATCCTCACCAAGCATATGTATAACAGGGTCAACCAAGTAGAAAGAATACCAATAATAGTAACAACGAAGTAGAAGGTACACATATAACAATAACGAATAAGGCAGAAGCACATAGATAATGGTAACAGACAAGGTAGGAGGCATAGAAGTAACGATAGCAAATAAGGTAGGAGAACATAGATTTCAATAACTGACAAGGTGGAAGGTTTAGATAAAACAACGAACGAGCAAAAGGCATAGATATAGATATAATAAACAAGAAAGAAAGCATGAATGTTGTATACGGTAAAATCGGAGGGACCAATTTTCGGTCATTACGATGCTTCATGAGCACGTTTCCAAAGCTGCGAGACTGAGGTCGAGATCCATGCTCGAGGGGTTATCGACAATGACCTCGGGGTAGTACGGATCGATAGTCATAGTAAGAAAGTGGGCAGTCCCCAAGGCACGCGACTAGAGCTGACAAAGTCTAGTAGGCTAGTTCAGACCCGAATCAGGGCATTAAATGGTTGTACCAACCCCATATCTTTTCAGTTAATGCATTTGTATTATGTTGGGATTCCCCTTTATATATAAAGGGGATCCTTGTCATTTTGTAAGGACCTGATGTTCAATATTGAATACACAAGAACATTCTCTTTGCTCTCTAACATATTCTTTTGATCTCATTACTTGCATTTATTGCTTATATTCATTGTGTTCTATTTATTGTTCTTCATTTATTGCTTATTATTGATCATAAAAGGATTCCATCAGAGCTATCATAACTATTAATCCCCCCCTCGATTGCTCCTAGCCGAGCATCCGACTCGACCTCGAGGCCCGTATACGCCAGCTCGAGGCCCCGATTTCTAGCCCTTTGGTTTGATCATTATACTATCTACAAACTCTTATCTCGTTTCCTAATCTCTTACTTAGCATCTATTGCCTAAACCAAATAACATAAAAATAGATCATGTATTTTTAGAACCACAAATTCAAATTTAATTGTAATTACCATTTTCAAGGTAAACAGTTTGGCACCCACCGTGGGGCTAAAAATAATAGTGATTATTTTCTTGCTGGTTCACTCCATAATGCAAGTTATCTTTCACACTTTTTCTTGTCCAAGATGTTTGATTTCAGGTCAAAATGTCTAACTCAGTGAATGCATATGAAAACAATGGTCTTGAGGACCACAGAGAGAATGGTGTAGCTGTTCTAGGTATTGGCGCACCACCACTGAACCCTAGGGACACACCAGAGCCAATCCCCGCAGATATGCTCTCACGGATGCCCAACACGTCGATATAAGCTCCCACACTAACAGGAGCGTACGCCAAGGAGACCAACAAGAAGTTCAGAAAACCCCAGCTACGGAATAACAAGAGGTTAGCCTTCACGTTATTTTTGAAATATTACAGGCAAAACAACTGGCGATTGCTCAACTGCAACATCACCAGAAAACTCCCAGCACGGTAGCACCGGGAATGGCTCCCCCAGCCGAGCAGGTACCGGAAAGATCAAGTAACAACAGGTCAACAGCCGACCCCGCCCTCATAAAGATGCTCGAGGACCTCACAAAAAGGATCGAGTCGGGTGAGAAAAAGATAGAAGCCAACGATAAGAAGGTAGAGACCTACAACTCTAGGGTCGATCAAATTTCGGGCGCACCCCCGGTCCTGAAGGGTATAGAATCTAAGAAGTTTGTACAAAATCCATTCCCGTAAGAAGCTACTCCAAAACCCATTCCAAAGAAGTTCAGAATGCCCGACCTTCTGAAGTACAACGGAACCTCAGACCCCAACGAGCATGTCATTGCTTACACTAGTGCAGTGAAAGGCAACGACCTGAGGGACGATGAGATCGAATCCGTCCTGCTAAAGAAGTTCGGGGAAACACCCTCGAAAGGGGCCATGATGTGGTATCACAACCTAGCTCCTAACTCTATAGACTCATTTTCCATGCTGGCAGATTCTTTCATAAAGGCACATACCGGTGCCATCAAGGTAGCTACAAGGAAATCCGACGTCTTCAAAATCAAGCAAAGGGAGAATGAGATGCTGCGAGAGTTCGTATCTCGCTTTCAAATGGAACGAATAGAACTACCCCCGGTCTCTGACGATTGGGCAGTGCAGACCTTCACCCAAGGTTTGAACGAGCGAAGCTCGGTAGCTTCGAAGCAACTGAAGCAGAACTTAGTCGAGTATCCCGCCGTGACTTGGTCGGACGTCCACAACCGATACCAATCAAAGATTAGGGTCGAAAACGACCAACTAGGAGCCCCTTTGGGATCAGTATATCCTAGCAGGCTTTCGGCTAAGAAGCCAAAGCCAAACAAGGAAAGATACCAACCATACACTGCAGATAGAAGAAATGCCCCGAGGCACAACATACCCCGCAATGATTGAAGAATGGATCGAGGCCAGAATCCTCGGGGACTTGTCATCGGAGATGGATTTGATAGGCACATAGGGCCAATGGATGCACCTCGCTTGTCGGAATACAACTTCAACGTTGATGTTTCAAACATCGTATTCGCCATCAGTAAAATCAAAGACACCAGGTGGCCAAGGCCTGTACAATCAGATCCTTCACAAAGGAACCATAACTTAGTGTGTGAATTTCACAACACGCACAGTCACATGACAGAAGATTGCTGACAACTCCGGGAAGAAGTAGATCGACTACTCAGCAAAGGTCACCCCTGAGAATTCCTCATCGACCGAGTCAAAAATTAGTTCCGGGAAAGAGAGGCGACCAAGAAGAGCGAAACGTATGAACCACAACATGTCATCCACATGATCTTAGGAGGCATCGATGCTCCACAAGAACCCATGATTAGAAGAACAAAAATATTCATCACCAGAGAAAAGCGAACTCGAGGTTACATACCCGAGGACGCTCTGACATTCAGTGACGAGGACATCGAGACCTTGTCTCAGCCTCACAATGATGCACTGGTAATCTCTTTCCTTGTAAATACATTTAAAATTAAACATGTACTTGTGAATGCAGGTAGCTCGACCAATATTATCAGGTCGAGGGTGGTAGAGCAACTTGGACTACTTGACCAAGTCGTGCCCGCGTCTCGAGTCCTCAATGGATTCAACATGGCGAGCGAAACAACGAAAGGGGAAATCACCCTCCCAGTCAATGTGGCCGGCACAACCCAAAATGCCAAATTGGCCGGCACAACCCAAAATGCCAAATTCCATGTCATCGAAGGAGACATGAGATACAATGCCTTGTTCGAGAGGCCGTGGATACACTGCATGAGAGCAGTACCATCCACCCTCCATCAAATGATGAAATTCCCAACAAAGGATGGGGTAAAAACCATCTATGGGGAACAATATGCGGCAAAAGAGATGTTTGCAGCGCACGGTGTGACACAACCACCAATGCCTCCACCATCGAAGGAACTGAAAGATAAGCAAATAGTAAGATAGCTATAACAAGCTACATTCTCGGCTACGCCCAATTAAACAAAATAAAGGACCGTACCGAGTCCTCATAACAAACAATTGAATCACATCGAGGTCCGAAACACCATCAGCACTAAGGTATGATCATCTCCCTTTTTCAGTTACATTTTATGC